CAATCTTGAAACCTAATTCACCCTGTTCTTTCAGCTCTTTTAAGCATCAGACTTAGTATTTCGGGTTGCTATTTGCTATTTCGGGTTACCAAAACAAACAGAACCTTCCGGGTTGCCATTTTATCAACAGAGAAAATCTGACAGCTCATGAAATATGTTACTCTTGCATCTCAAAAGTGCCAATACTGTTGGTCACTAATTTTTTCAGACATCTTTTCCATAATTCTTATTTCCTACAAAAACATATACTAGTATTTTGACTAACTCTACTTTCAAAAGAAAACTTTAAAAAATCAACATTTGAATCTGCACAATCTATTAGTATTTTCCGTTGCCAATATATTCAACAGGAGCCCAAACAAAATCAGAGTTTAAAATACCAGAAAACAACCAACAACAACAACCCAGTATAATCCCACTAGTGGGGTCTGGGGAGGGTAGTGTGTACGCATACCTTACCCCTACCCTGGGGTAGAGAGGCTGTTTCCAATAGAAACTCGGCATCCTTCCCTCCAAGAACTCCCTACCTTGCTCTTGGGGTGACTCGAACTCACAACCTCTTAATTGGAAGTGGAGGGTGCTTACCATCAGAACAACCCACCTTGTCACACAAATGCATTAATTATAGTATTTCAATACAACATTCCTATATTTCCTTAGTGAGAAGCTTTTATAGCCACATAAATGATATGACATGTTGAAGACTACAAGTTTCAAAAGTTTTAGTCACACAAATGTTTTGACATATTTAAGACCGCAAACTTCAAAAGTTTTTCTTCCTTTATTAAATTTTGTATCAAGACAAACTACGACAAATAAAGTGAAATGGGCGAGTACTGAGTAGTTAATTTAGCTTGCACTTTTAGCAAAAAGCAATTAACATAATCACCTTTTAACCAATACTTTGCCAGACAACCGAAGACGGATCAACAATGTAACTTTTGCCTAGAGCATGTATGTGTATTAACCCCTTTTTATTATTAAAAATACTATAATAATATATTTTTTTATAAAGTGCATCTTCTCTTATGTCGGTGTCAAATTCTCATAGGAACAATAGGACTGTTATCTACTATATATCTATAAATATTTGAGTGTAAACTCAATTATTATTACTACCTCTATCTCAATTTATATGGCACAAATTTCGAGAGTCAAAATATATTAGGAACTTTGACTAATCTTTAAATTTTTTGAAATAATGATATACATATTTAAAAACAACATAAAACATATTATAAGTCATAATAATTAATAATTTAAAATATTTAAAAGGCGTATAAAAATTTAGCGGTCAAAGAAGAACTCATTTTTTAAATATTTTTTCTTATGTCAAAGAAAAACTAGTTTGACTCTCAAAATTCGAAAAGTGACACATAAATTGGGATGGAGGGAATCTATTAACTTAAAGTCGCGGTAGAAAACCCTACAACTCTGTGAAACGCGGGTATGTTTGTCCAAATATTATTTTTACCTAAAAAGTGGTTAAATCTCAATTAGTTTTGAATCTAATTTCAGTTACCGATTCAAAATAAGATTGTTTCTGAATTTCTCGCTTGGAACAACAGGGCTATTATCCACTAAACGTCTATAAATATTTGAGTGTGAACTCAATAATTATTAGTATCTATTAACTTGAAGTCCCTGTGAACCCCTACAACTCGTGAAAGAGACGAAAAGGCAAGCAAGCAAATACCTGAGAGAGGAGCTGATCAACTAAGCTTAAACCCGACGATGACTGTAGCTGCGGCTGTGGCTGTGGCTGTGGCTGCGGCTGCGGATCACTACTTTGCTGCTGTTGGATATCCAACTTTGCTTTCAAGTCGCTCACTGCTTTCTCCCAGACCTCCCACTCTTCAATCTCTTTCTTAAACTTCTCTGAAATTCTTAAGAGAAACCGTTTCTTCCTTTTCAGTTCAGCCACCGCCGGATTTGGCTGCGCCGGGGCGGCGGAGGCGGAGGTGATAGAACTCGAAACTGGCAGCTGCTGCGGCTTTCTCCGCTTGTAGATAAAGCCATCGTCGTTTACGATTTCCCATTCGAAAACCTTTGTAGCCATCTATTACAAAGAATTTGGGGCAGATTGTATTAACTTTCAATCACAAACCCTAGGCTCACGTACAATATGCGGAAATGAAAAATTAAACTAGAAATTAATAGACTTTGCCGCCAAATTGGCTCCCAAATTTTTTTAAAAAGAACACTTTTTTTTCTTTTGAAAAAGTAAAAAAAAGGGCAGTCATGTATGCAGTTCCGGAAAAGAGTTGGACTATAAGTTATAATGTATAGTTTTATCTTAGCATTTTTGCAAGAGAATATTTACACGGTTTAAACCTATGAACTCCTGGTCACATGACAATAACTTTACCGATTAAGTCATGGCTTCCTTCAAATGTGATTTTTAAAAAACATATTTTTGGTGAAAAATAGTGTGATTGGCCAATCAATTCTAAAAGCACTTGAACAACAAATAGTGTTTGATCAAGTTTTTAAAAAATATTTTTTTAAAAGTTCTTTTTGGGAAGTTATTTTTTTAACTTCTCAAAAACAACTTTTGTTTCCGCTCAAAAGTACTTTTATTTTATTTTAAGAGTTTTGGTTAAATGCCTTAACTTTGAAAAAGATTACTCTTGGCCAAAATTTCTTTTTGTCCAAACTAGAAGTCATCCATCTTAATACATGTATCTTTTGCTTCTCATCTGTGTAACACCTTAAATTAGGGGTATTATCATTTTTAGCCCGTGACATAAATTATTTATATTCGGTAATTGAAAAAATATATAAAATCTATATAATTTTTATATATAACATACATAATGTGTATATATATATATATATATATATATATATATATATATATATAACACTTCCCGACCAAGTCTCGTTAATTGATCATAACGATATCGTGGAAATGTTGCACGGACTTTCAGGCGGCTTTTCTTTTGGGCAGTTGTTCGCCATTGGATCTCGCCAATATATCGGCTATTATTTTATGAGCGGCTATACAATTTCATTTTTTCATTAAAAAATTAGTAGTTTTTAGTTAAAAAGCTAACATTTGGAGGAAATGTCTATTGTGATAAGTCGTAACTTGAAGTTTGTCTTGTTTGACCAAAAAATATAGAATTTTGATTAAACTGATTAATTTTGTATGACGAATGGCTAAACCTAGTTAATGATAATAATTTCAGATCTATAATCGATTAACACAAATAACGCAAGAGCAATGTTGAGAGAAGATTAAATGTGATGTATTCAATATTTCAAGATCATTAATTATGGGGGAATATCAAACAATAAATAACGATAAATAGCATTAAAGTAAATTAGGAGAATGATTCACCCAATATTGAATGAGGTGGATGATTTTTCTTTCTGATAATGATGAATGATAGATAAATATTAGAATATTGGGACCCTTCTCGGATCTAATGGAAAATGTGTGGAATAGTAGACAATCGAATCTCTTTAGAAAGATAGTGAATATCTTTTATCTAGAGAGAAAGTATGCTTTTCAAATAATGTTCTTATCAGAGAATATTACATATCCCTCTCCCCCTATCTCTTTTTCTATTTATATGGTACATTCCTCAGTCAACCCTAAAAGTACAGACACCAAGAATATTCAATAGAATATTCTCCTGAATATTTTATTACAAAAACTAGTCATTAGCACTGCCCTTGATACTCGACATCGACCGTTATTGGCTACTCGGCTACGAGCCCCGTTATCTACTAATCGACCCTGACCATATCGTTTTTCACGATACCGCTTTATGCTAAATCCCACTAAGGCAGATTTTGACCCATACATGTATGTCACGTTTAATTTTGATAGAAAATAACTATTGTCGTAAATTGCAACTTAAAGTAATTTTGTAACTATAAGTTATGTCAATCACATTTAACTTTGATAGAAAATCTATTGTTGTAAGTCGTAATTTAGGGTAACGATTATTTAAATGTCTTCTGTCTGTCACGTTTAACTTTGATATTTGCCACATTCCGTCAAATTTTCACCGTTACATTTTTTGATTAAGCAAATGATAAATAGTGAATAATGTCTATATCATTTTGGTTACTTTGTCAGAAACATATTAGTTGTGTCAATTTGGTTAATTTTTGTATTAAAAAGATGAAAAATTCGAGCTTTTGTTTTTCTTGTTCACCCTAATGCTTTTTTATTCACCACATATTTTTCATTTGAATTCACTTTTGGTATTTTCCTAGTTCATTTGCAAAATTAATTTTACTAAATAATCTCTTGAAGTAACTTTTGGCAACAAAACAGCTATTTTTACTGTGTCTCAACCAATTTCCAATTATAAATCATCAAAATTCTTATTCTCCAATTACATGCCCTACTATTTTCTTTACCTGCACTAGTTCTTTCTTCAGGATTTGTCCAATTTTTTCTCTCTTTTTTTGTTGGATAACATGTATTCATATCATAACTTGTTCTTTTAAAACATTTTTTTATTTCAAATTTTAAACAAGCGAATCTCAACTTTAGTCTCGCAAATATGACATTGATTCTGAGGTGGTTAAACTAGGTGATTTCTTCCCATCTATCTAAATATTTGTGACATAATTACTCGATACATGTGCTAGTCGAGGTAGCATATAACAGAGGTGGACCTCGGATTTGAAGGTGGTGGGGGCACATGAGCGGACTGCTCAACCAGTGTCCTATCAAACTTTTGATCTTAAGGGATCTAGGCGAAATATATGACCATTCCCAACATATATGCACATATATATCAAGCATTTCTGCGAGGTTAATGAACTCCGATGACCCCTCTTCTCTACACATAGGTCCGCCTATGGCAGATACCCGGTGAATAATCAAGGAGTGGACAAGTTGATCCGAACATCACTGTCATAAAAAAATGCACACACACTAGCACACTACCCCTACGTAAACGCGGGATGCTTCGTGCACCGGGCTATCCTTTTTCTTTTACTAGCAGACTACAGAAAAGAAATTTCATGACAAGAGATGAAAGAAGAAAGCCATGCCAAGATTTTATCAAACAACTAATACATTGTTTGTAGCTTTCGGACGACCAATTATGACACTTCACCTCAAAGAAGACCAAGGATTGATGCATCACATCATTCTTGGAGCAAAATTATGTACACAACTTATGGAAATTCCTGTTTCATGTTGGAGGCAACAACATAAGGACTAGTCCAAGATACTGAGATCAAGGATTTCTAAGTGCAGCCAATCGCTTCTCCAGCTCATCAATCCCCGAACTGCCAGTACGAAGACACCAGAAAAAACTTATGTGAGAGAGTTAATGAGATTACAGTGAATAAGCTCATTGCAGAACATGAAAAATGCACTTCTTACTAATACGATTATTTACAGGAAGAGAAAAAAATTGAAGAACCGAAAAATGCACGTACTTTGATCTGTCAGCGAGCAGTGCATTCAAAATGTCTAATAATTTGCTTGAGGATACTGTAGTACTTGAAGCAAATTATACTATTTCCAGAGATGGGGCCAGGATTTGAAGCTTATGGATCCGAGATTCTAATTCTTTTAAGTTGTTGGGTTCTAAATTAATAATTTGTTCGAACACATAGCTTCTATTCTCCCTCCGCCCCATACCGTTACCCCTATCAATTTAATATAAGAAAAGTTTTCTTATGAGTGAAGAAACAAAGTGCGCTTAGCTTTCATAAATTAGTTAATAGTATCCATTTTTACCAAGTGAAGACTAGAACAGCTTTAACTAGGCTCGCGATCTAGAAGGTAACAAGGCCACGGCAATTTCTAGTGGAAGACACATGTTAGTGAAACCTGGCTCTGTGGCTTTTTTTTTTTTTTTTTTTAATAACCC